GAAAACAAATTTCCTTACATTCTTTTAGGTTCGTAAGTCTTTGAAGGCGCTAATAGTAAAAAATTTCATTGATTCGATGTATGTATTATGAATTCAAATTATTATTATTATTTTTTTTTATTGTTGTAATTTACGTTATTTTGCATATATAAATAAATCAAAGCTGATTAAGAACCTTCGCGCGAAGGTACATACAAATTATATTTTGTATTAAAAGTATCGATTCTAGAACCCATGTTGATTAAACATTTTTTGTGTTTCTTGATGAATACTTGAATCACTTAAACTTCTTGAACTCTTTTTAGACCCTTAGACTCTCAAACTTCTTAGACTTTTTAGACTTACAAACAGTAAAACTAATAGTTTGAATAAAAGTGAAATTCGATTAAGGAATAAAACTCGATTGAACAGAGGCTACTGGGTAATCGATGTCGGTTAGTCTTTATCGATGAAGAAATTCGGATACTGGATCCTCTGATTGTTCGTATTATTTTTTCCTATAACATACATTCTGTTGCTCGTTTGTTTGTTCGCATGCAAACTGCAGAACTACAACGACTTCTATAAATTATATGTACATTCATCTAAATAGAATTTTATTTAATGCAAATTATTCCTCACATGTGCAACATAAACTTATTCTTTGCCCTCTTCTGTTTCTTTACAAAATTCCTTGTTATCGTTTTACTTTTAGTTTAATCATGCAAAATTCACTTACGCGTGTATATTGTCTTCTTTTACAAGAGAATCCAAAAGTAGAGACAGAGCGTGAATGGTCAGACATGAGAATCACTCGATAATCACCTAGAGATACATACAAGTGTTGCTTCGATATGCTACGAGACATTCTTAAAAATAAATACTTACATACGTTCGATCTTTCTTTGTAGACGCTTATAATTACAGAAAAATAAGTCTTCTACGTTTGTAATTGTCGAAGGAAAGATATGTTTAGGAAGATATGTTGGAGTTTAAGCGTGAGTGTAGTTAAAGTGTACGCTCATTGGTAAACGTATGCATTTATTATTTGCATGTAGCGGAGAAACACATGAGAAAACACATGTTTTACATATAGATAGGATGGTTATACTCGCTTTTAGCGCACTGTGTCATGATAAAAAATGCAACACCATGATAAAAGCGAATATTTTTTACAGATACATACGATAAATACAGGTTTTAAGATTAAATAACTTTTCAATAATTTTCTTGGTAATATGATCCAAGTATCATTTTATTTTAATTAATTGTAACATGTTGTCAGAAAATGTAATATATTGTGTATATTCGTTGATGATTTGATTAGTGCATACGTCCACTATGCATCTTTCACTTTAACTATGTGTGTGTATATAAACATAGGAAAGTATAGATGAACGTTGAAAGTGACAGTCCTAATTTCAATACCTAAATAGCAGTAGTGTTGATTTGATTTTTTTGCCTTATTCAAATCATTGGTTGACAGGCGCCAGCGACATGCCAACCAAAGTGGCAAGCTACGAAAATTCCATTCAAGATTATTGTCCTAGGACGGTAAGGGTGAAGAATGTATTGTAATTGTCTCCCTGATCGATAATAGGCATTTATCTTGGTTAACATCGTATTGAACTTCCGTAAACTATTTTGAAGTTATTTACAATTAGGAAATATTGGAGAGGTAGAGATTGAATTTGACAACATTGAGAAACACACTCTTAAAAACACACTATTAAGTAAATGTTGAGAAATTGGTTTAAGTAAATAAATCATTGAAACTCTGTGCAGAAATCTCAAGAAATGATTAAACTGTTGCTCTTTGGCGTACTTTTTAATTATAACATCTATTAGGTATAAAAGGTTTGTACCTTATTTTGTACATAATTCCACGTTTCAATTTATTCGACTTTTACTAATTGTAATAAAAACGAAGATAGACAATATTTGAAAGGAACGTGCAAAATGTAAGTTTTCTTAAATCGAGTGGCAAACAAATCATTCACTCTGGGCGAGCACAGAGACTGTATTTAGGAGCTCTACCTAGAAATATTGTCCTCGATAACAAAAAATCGTCTAAAAATACGTGAACATAACGTCCAGCTTTAAAATATTACGAGCTTCATGTTAATTTCGAGTTTCGAATGAAAAGAAATTTTTTTCACGAAATACATTTACTAAGAAATTATTATTCCCAATTGTTTCATGAATTTCATGAATTTCTTTTTTACGCTATTACATTCGATACAGTAAATCTATCGAATAGAAACCAAACTTCATTTCACTCGATTGACTATTATTTTTTAACGAAAGTAACCGGAAATTCGCAAAAACAAACCTCAACTATTTCATATACTTAACACAAGTTAAAGTCCAAAACAAATTTCTAAATGACAAAGCAGGGCACCGTCTTCAGTATTTGCTAAGTGAGTAGACAACGACTTGAGGCGAATTTTATAGAACTTTAAAGATCATCGACCAACCTGTCTGAAAATCTACGAAACCCCCTTTGGAAAGAAAAGGTTTGCACTAGGATAACCATGAACATCCTTGGACACAGGCGAAAGAAAATAAATTGTTAATCGAACGAAAGTAATCGAGAATCCTCTAGGACTACTGGGATCAACGTCGATGATTTTCAGCGGGCTGTGATATCCTGTTGACGACGTGCAATGGTGTACAGGCTCGTTCGATGGGCCATATTTCACAAGGCCATTATGCCGGCTCGGGGTAATAATACCGCACAATTACCGTGGATCTCGAGTTCTCGAAAGAAAGGAAATAAAATCAGCATAAAGTGAGCCACCAAATGGTGCCGGCAGACCTTTAATGAAAGTACCAGTGGCGGAGGAGAAGGCATAAGGAATAGCGGCGCGAAAACCGGGGTAAAGAAGAAGGGGCCGGCCCTTAAATTAATTCGCGATGAATTACGTCCGCACCAGCTGTTCGGACAGTTGTGTTTATTTATGAAGGAACTAAGATCTTCCTCGCGTAGTCCTTAAAGCCGGATTCCGCCTATATAATTCCCTGCGATGACCGAATTCTTTCTCTTCCTTTTAGTCGACACGCCGCGCCACGTTAGCTTTCTTGATGGCTGAACTCATAAACTTGGGGAATTCTTGGGCAGCCTGCAGGGAAATGTATCGTGCAGAAGAACATAGGATAAGGAACTTCCCATTGATGTTACGTTAACATAGAATAGTTTAGAAATGATAATATTTAGAAGATATACCTAGGTGGATTTTTCGGAAATACAGTACCGGTTAACAATTTTGAATCATTTTGTTTTGAATCATTCAATTGTAAAATTTACATGCGTGATATTATACCATTATTACGGAAGAACAATGAACAATGAGTAATAAAAAATATGTTTGATTAACATTGAAAACAAAGCAATTGTTAAAATATTTAGCCTACTTTCGAGTTGTATCAGTCATAAATCCAATAAATATGGTGCGTGTTAACGAGAACAATCCACTTTTACGAATCGTGTCATTACTTTTCCAAAACGCGATATTGCAATGATATAAATTATAAAACAAATCAATTATTAAATGATTTATAAACAAAAGAAGTCAACAAAACAGAATAATAAGTAAATTACGAAAAAATAGCGTTTAAAGAATCAAAAGGGATTATCATGTAAATTTTTAGTCTCATTTGGTAGCTCAGTAAGTTGAAAGTCGTCTCTAACGATATTATGATACTGATTGTGAAATCCTTTTTGAGTACTATCATTTTCTCCTTTACACGGCAATTCATTTTATCTATCTTCAACTTCAAGAAGTAACAGTTTAGTAATATATTTATTTATAATTTAATATAACATTCTTCTTAGAAATGACATTTATAACTACAACAACAACAACAAATAAACAAACGATAAATTATCACTTTTTATAAAATAACACAAAAAAATCAAACAATGTATGACATATAATACTTGTAACATGGAACAAAAGTCAATTAACGTACCAATAATTTCTAAATTTCTCAGTCTCACCCTATAGTTATCATCCTAGCTGTTAAATGGTAAAAAAGGAAAATTTTTTTAGCGCGATATCATGCAAGTACATATGCATATTATAGTATTAGGAAGCAAAGCGTGTATCATTGCATCTTTTCAATCATGCTCAAATTGTTGTGTAAAAGTGTTCTTAGCCTACTTGTAACCCCTGGTAACGTTTCGATGTTAGCCATGAACCATTTGATTTGAGGGCTTGGGAACTTCTTTAAATCTTCAAGACGTTGCCTTTAAAAGAAAAAAACGCTTAAACGTTCTAAAAAAATAAATCACTCTAGCGATAGAAATAGCACAGTAGAGAAATACCTACGCAACCTCTCAACGAAGAAATGCTAGCAGCAGTCGCTAATTTAATAGTTCTCGAGGTTCGACAACCAAAAAATCTGGAGGACATTCATCTATTTAGTAACTGTCGTGTCAGAAGCGTCCGATGACGCGAAGTCATAATCAGACGTTAAACTCGTCACGCTTTAATCCCCGATTACACGATTTTCAGCTAGCTGTACAAGTTCTCTTCCTTCCTACTCTCATTCTTCTTCCTGCTGATACGAAGGGATTAAACCGAACTTTCCCCGTCGATAAATAACAATTAACGAGAGGAAACACAAAAGAAAACGCTATCAACGGTCGAAAATATATACAAAAATATCACGAATATCATTCTTTTTCACGCTCATTTACCGTTGCCGCCTGTTTCCATTCAACCAAAATCCTTCAGAAAAAGCAGGATTCGCACATTTACAGAAAACACAACACACTCGCTATGTCTCTTCATCTAGAGTTTAGAAGGAATGAACAAACAAACGGGATCCTCGATGAGGGATCGTGCGATCTGTATGAATATAGAAAAGGATTGTTGTCGTCTGTAAACTTTTTTATTAGAAATATGCGAAAGCATATATGCATTGTTAGAAGGAGAGAAATTATTGTTCCAAAGGATTATTTTGTAAATGGATCTACGTTATATACGATAACAAAGTTCAGAAAACCTTTCCAAATGAAAATTTTCATTTTAACTTGCACATACTCATACCTTTCCATTCATCTTTTTGATATGAAAGTTTGCGATACGATTAAACAGTGAATTGGTTCCGAACCGGTTCTATTGACTCGTGATTAATCTATTTACAAAGTTTATGGCAGATGGAAGAGCTCGACTTTAATTCGAAAGATAAAAAAAAAAGAAAATAAAAGATTATTGTAAGTATTGATGGAAAAATCAATTAGTTACGAAAAAGTAAATGTTTTGGTTTTTACCAAAGACGATTACGTGGGAAGACAAATGTACAACAACACTACCTAATCGTAACTATTCACATAAATACTGCACTACCTAAAATAATGTCATTATCCAGTGTATCATATTCCGAAAAGACGTATACGTTTATTTCTAAACGAAGATATAATAACGTTAAATTGACGTAGGTAAATCAACAGATTGCACGTATCTAATCAAGGTTCGACCTGTCGTTCGTGAGCGAGTGTGTGTACATATAGATACACGTATATACGCGATGCCTAAAATCACTTGGTCCGACCGAAGGAATCCGTCCGTTAATTAAAGCATCCGGCTTGGCCAAGATGTTTGATACTCAACGCATAAGAAGCTACCGCCGACAGTGATTAAAAACGGGATATACCCTATTAATACTTGCTGCTTACGAGGTCTACTTACATATACAGATAACTTAGTTACCCTGACGTGTCAATATGCACACACATGTACACGTGCAAGCTTGCGTGTGTATGATACATAGATACGTGTACAAGCATATATACATGCATATAACGCAAATTTATTGCCGTTGAAACTGACATAAGAAGCACACACCTGGCAGTTTGTTTTGCGAATATAACGTATGTGTATCATATGTGTATGCGTGTCTATATGTTGCCAGGATTGTAGATTTTATCTTCTTCTACCCTTCCTTGCTTTGTTTCCTCTTAAATTTCTTATTCTTACATCGTCGTTTCAAACCTTTTCTACTTTGCTAGCTTATTATCATCTTCAAAATTAACAGAATCATGTCTTTTCATAGCTTTTAGATCAGTCATTATTATCGTATAAATTTAATCAGAGCGTAGAATGACAAGGATTGATAATGGTGGTCACGATGAATCTTTAAATTACTCACGATTAAAGTTGTTAAAGTATCAAGATTTTCACAAAGTGTATCGAATTTAAATCAGATGAATTTCTAGAAAACTAATTAGTTAGAAAACTAAACTTTTACACGACTTTTGTGTATTAATTTGATAAGGGAACAGGGATTTGTAGGAAAGAAATTTTTACCTATTAAAAATATCAAATTCTACGAACTAAAAATATTCCAGAAAAATAAATTTTTATGAAATTTTTCGTGTAGGTATGAAACGAGGATAGAACTTTTATATATCCAATAGTTTTATTGAACATTCGCGATGCAATCGTATCGTGTATTTATGTGTAGCATTCCCTATGGCAGACCTTATAAAAGACTTAAAGTCTTACTTTTTTCTCAACGAGTAAACGAAACAGAATACATATCGATACGAATAATCAAATCGATGCAAACAACATATTCGCATATATCTGTATGTATGATCTTGTTAATATAAATATTTTATCCAGTTTGTTTTCACTCAAAGTAAAGCTATAACATCTCGTTTCATTATACGCTTCCAAATCACGTGTCTCCTTTTCTCTGTTACTTACCTATGTAATACATACATACATATGTGAAACATACTTATATGCTCAAGTTAGATTGTCCACATTTGCATTTATCTCGGACTGTCTACAATTTAGGGTGTAGCTACTTTAATTTCATTCTTTAAGAACGACGACGATCTTAAAAAGCAGAATGCAAGCCATGTTTATAGTACAGAACACATTATACCACTCACGTAAAAATACAAGTTCCGTGGTCCGTTCGTAGACTTCTAGTCACGTAAAAGTTAAGCGATATTTTATAATAGGAAATATCTTTTCTCAATTTCACGAATCTTTCTTTATAGGAGATATATCTTCAGAAATTTTCAAGTACCAAAAACAAGAAAATTTTAGGTTTTTCTCTAAAATGTAAATCACGGATTTCACGGATTTCATCTGCACGTATTAAAGCGTCATTTTTTGAATAACAGTCTTCATTTCGCAGCACTTTGGGATACTTAGACTTATTTATTTGAATTTGTATGAATAAAATATTTAATTGCAAAAAAAGAATAAACTAAAGGAAACTACCCCTTTCAATCTTAGGATACGAAACATATCATTTCATATTAAAGTTTACTTACATAGAAGTGACTATTGATTACAGAAATATTAGAGCATAGTCCAATTATGGACATATTTAAGAAATAATTTATCAGTTATCAATTAAAATAAAACGTTTAATGGTGGTTTCATATCCCAAAGTCTTTAGGATTTTCTAATACCATCATAAAACTATTAAATTGCTCTTATAATTAATTACAAAAGATGTTTTCAAACAAATAGGTGGCTACTAGAATTATCTGCTACTCCCACAAAACACGTCTATTGTAAAAGGAGATACTATACAGTATGAATCTCATGACAGAAATGTCATGGGACATAAAGCACATTATATATGTATATGCACATTTTGATGAATTTATAGGTGTTCCGTCACACCCGATTTTTATGATTTTTTAATATTTTAGAGGAATCAACATTTTAAACATTTTTTTCCTATACATATAACCGTCGATCTGACATAGTTTACGAGACATTCGCAAACAACTGCAGGTACCACTACAATTTCTACCTATAATAGTGTGTCTATCGCAACGATGCATAAGTTGCCGGCCACCGTCCGCTTATCTTCTGTTTATGAACGAGGAATAGCAAGGTTAAAGGCCTTGTGTACAACATGCATATGCAACGCTGCAAGAAATGTTTTGTTATAACTTATAACTCAATTAAAAGTGAATATCGTCAATGTATTACGTATAGGTTCGCGTGAATTAGTAACGATTGTTTTATTTCATAAAATAGTATCAATTATTCACTTGCCTATTACTATTATAATTAATTTGTTATTATTTCACGCAAGCGTTGTCCGGCCATCTCCCAATGACCAGATTAAAAAAAACTAAACCAGATCAAAACCTAAATCCAATAAATTGATAATATTCATTTTTAAGTGAAATATTATAGACACTTCTTGCAGCCTCACATATGCAGTTGTGCACAAGGCCTTTAAGCTCGCCCGACTTCCGTATATAAACAGAAGATACACGACCGGCAACCAATGCTGCCACGGATGCATAACTATAGGCAGAAATACATCGTAGTAGTATCTACAGATTTTTGCTAGGAAACTATAAATATAAATATCTCAGAAACTAAACGAGACCGATGGTTACATTATAGGGAAAAATTTTCAAAATATTGAACTTTACAACATATTAAAAAATCGATAAAATCGGAGAGGACAAAACGATTCTACAAGTTCACCCACATTTTTTTTATAATTTGAGCATTAAATTCAAAATTATTAATTGTTCGATGAATAAAACTTACGCTACTACTGATATCTCCTTTTCTTTATAGGACATTTCTTTCGAAGATACTTAATATAAATTCGTTTAATGTCTTGAAAGGTTTTTCATTCAAATCTCCCAATTTCAAAATCCTGTTCCTATACGTTGCAATGCGTACAATCTCATTTTAATCCAAATCCTTCCCTCGCTTCACCGATTCGCCAAAATCAATTCATTTTTGCTCTTTTATCATTAAAATTACAATGTAAGAATAAGTCACTGAGGAAAGTGAATACGTGCTTGGTCTGCACAAAATTAATGTAAAATAAAGCGCATCGTACATCAATCCTTTCTTACATTATTAATATATCAATATATCTATATCTAATAACAGCAGATTTTCCAAACCTTTATCTGCCTGTCTATTCACTGACATCTCTCACAAGCAATGATCAGCATTAGAATGATGAGGAGATCAGAGGCTCGTCGACGATGATTTGCGTTAGAATTGGCGCTGATTGTTGGCCTCTTCTTACCGATTCTTACGGTCGGCACTGGAGTTGCAACCGATGGATATCCTACGTGTCCACTGATCGTATTGTCTACGGATAGAGGTTTGTTCTCCATTTTCTCGATTTCTGCCGAACCATAGACAGTCTCATCCTCTTCATCGTAAAAAGATGGCCGAGCAACTGTTTGAGTTTTTGTAGGCCCTGAAATTTCTGAAATAAATACCAGAAAAGGCATTTAATTTTAGTTACATTTTTTAGAAGATAATATTGAAAGGAAAAAATTGTTCTAATCTCCTTTAAATTTTATCAAATTGTAAGAGCTTACAATTCTTAGAATGAAAAATTCTGGTACATTTTTAAAAATAATGTATACACTGAAAAATTGTCTAGAAGGAATAAATGGAATAAGATTTAACTTTCCTCGAATGATAAATTTATGCTTTCAACTTTTACCATGCCTTTTCTTCCACATTTAAACTCATACAAAAAAATCATTCAAATATTATTGTTATTTACGACAGTCAATAACAGGGCTTTGATATTTTTATTATTAATATTTCTAATACTTGATGTACGTAGAAAGATTACAGCAAATTTTTCCTTTGACGTGATCAATAACTGAAGAATTAGGTATTGAACTTGGTTCTTATCTTTCCATCGGAGATTTTGTACGTGATGATAAAAATACATCGAATTGTCGTTATTTAGAGATACCTATTTCATCGACAAAAATAACTTTAATAAGAAATCAATAATTTTCATGGGGAAATTAAGAACAAGGTCGATGTAAAGTGTGATCGTGGATAAACAAAATATTTTTGTAGTTGATTAATTACAGAGAAAACCAAAATTTTGGGAAGGGCTGGCAAGAAGAAGAAAACATTTCGACTAGATGAAATTCTTAACAAACTTTGACTAATCAAAGTTCTAGTCATACTTTTCGTGACATACATCATAGTTTTCTCGTTTACCTTCCCTTTTGCAGCCTGTATGGTAAAATCGCTAGCATCTTTCACAAGGTAAGGAATTAGTTTACATGAAAGATTTCTCCCAAAATTATCTTCTTATGTACAAAAAGTTGGTAACGATTTTGACAGTTGTCAAAAGTGATACTTTCCCTTAGAATAGGAAGAGAGAGGAGAGAAAATATTTTCGACGCATTAAGAATGGTGGCAGTGAATAATCGACGATGCTCTCACGAGAAAGAAGAATGTGCACACTGCAGTACGCTGTGTGATAAGTAAAGTAGTAGGTAAATCCCTGCGTCAGGGAACAACATTGATTTCTAAAACGCGAGAGGCTCTCGTGACGATTTACGGAGGACACGAGCGTGTGACCGAAGTGAATCAAAGTGCACGGGCTGCTCGTGATTCCCCTGAGTCTGACTCTGACCCGATTGGGAAATCCTCAGGATCGTATGCGAGAAGATAAGGATTGACCGAAAGAAGCCGAATGCTGCCAGGGGGTAAATCCTCTGGAGGATTCCGTGACAAAGTGAGGATGCCTGTAAACGCGAGCGTGTTTGAAACGTGCGAAACACTTTCTTATTTCCATCACACCGCGATCAGTCTTTTATCTAATATGCAACCCAGCAAGAATAATTTCCACTCGGATATTCCGCAAAGATTCGTTAACCCCTCGCTTAGGCTGCTGTTATCAGCCGTGAAATAACATCAGAACGGAGACAAATTTCCGATATTCAGCGCAACAACTATCAACCAGTTAAACCCTACTTTGCTTGATACTTAACGATTCTTTCAGCTGGTTTTGTTAAGTGCGACGCTATTTGAATGCAGCTAATCATTCATCTTTTCTCGTTACTTAGTATCAGTCCGACGACCACAATTACCGTCGTCGTGTCGTTAATTTTCGATTCGGCGTATCTTTTAAATTTTTCTTGCAGTGTAAAGTGAAGCCTAATGACAATAATGAAAATACATTTACTTTTATATATGTGTGTAATACAGTAGCTACATTTCATGATCTATCAGAGATAGAACTATCACCAAAGAGAATACGAAAATCATGCAAAAAAGGATCGAGTCACGACAAGTGCTATAATTTAAAAAAAGGCATTTCTGCACATTAGCGCATTTTTATTAATTTATTTTGTTAGGTTAAAAATTTGGGACCAATAGTTCAAAGAAATACAAGTAAATAAAAGCAAATGTAAAAGAAGCAAAGAAACAACGACTAAAAAGAAAACGATAAGAGAATAACACGATACATATAAATAGAATATGAATATTTTGTTAAAAATCTTTTTTCTGATGAAAACAGAATGTTAATCTTAAGAAAACCAGGAATAAACAATTTTAATGTGACTATAGCTATTTATAAAATTGATAGGAAGTAGATATGTAATTCCAGGTTATACTTACCATACAATCGAATACTGCTCTCGACGTCACCAAGAGAATTTTTGGCTACACACTTGTAAGTACCCACGTTGTCTTTTTGTAAATTGCGAATTGTTAACACCATCCGGACCTCAAATTTTGATTTTTCGATCATCTGCACGTCATGTTGTTGACTCGATATTATCATCGCTATGCAAACAAATTTTATATTATTTTTATTCAGAATATACATATATTTACTCATAACAAACGTATCGTGATCATATTGTATGAATATTGACAGAAATCTGCAGATTTTCACTCGTTATATATATATATATATAATGAGTGAATATATTTTCTGAAAAACAAAGCCTCAAACGAAAAATTTTTATTCTATATTTTCGACTTCTTTTTTCGCGTAGAATCACCCCCTTTCCGCTTGTACCATCAGTTATCAACCACCATTATATATATATATATATATGCTTATATACAATAAGGTAATTAATTATATTATATTATTATATTTAACAATAAAATATAAATACGACAATAAGAATAGGATAATTCTTGCAATCCTTCGTAACAGAGATTGTTGTCACACACAACCAAAGCGATATCATGCACTATAGTTTGTCTACTTATGCATTCCCCGAATTATTGTTGGTTCTTTATCGTTCTACGTCATCTACACCGAAATCGATTCTGACGATTAATTTGGTTTGCTATATAGATCATTATCAGAAAAGACTGCAAGAATACCAGTGATAATCCATATGAATTTTTAACGGTCTGTTCTAATTCATGATAAAAGCTATACCGAACTTACTAAAACCACTTTTTCTACTTTTACAATGACATCACAATTGGACTCCATATAAGAAATGATAACAAAGGTACTATAAGAAATATTTTCACTTGAAAAATCACTGCGAACGTGCGAACAGAACTCTACAAATTTGGAATTGAAAAACAATAATAATTACTGGATTAATACGAATCCGAGAAATGGAAAGAAATCGTTGGTACTATTAGTACTAATAAATTAAGTAAGTACCACGTATTCTATCCATGGCTATAAGATGCGTACTTAGGTAGTATGTATATCTGTTTAGATACATATGGCGTAGTATATAGTGCAGCCTGAGAATATTACAAACAAGCGGAAAGAATACGTAACGACGTATAAAAATATGCGAAAATCACTTCTGTGATCAAATCTATGTGTATATATATATGCATAAATAGGATAGGGAAAAACGGTACGTTGGATTTTCTGTGTTGGGTAAAAATTACATACGAATACGAATTAGAACGAACTGCTCCGTAGGAGTTGCGCTGAACCGAAAGCATATTTGCTGCCAGAGCTACAAATGCTTGGAGAATATATTTGCGAACGATCGAGTGTAATTCACTCTCACGTTTGTCTGTAACTTTTTGTCAACTCTGCATGAAAATATTAGAACTTTTAAGGAAAGAGAAAACGCTTCGTTCTCTGTTTCTTCCTACGTGGGAGTTTCTTTCTACGTTCTAGAAGAAGATCATAAAATGTTACTGACCGCTTTATTTGAATCGTGCGAGTTAATACTCTTAATTTTAACTAAGGAAGATACTCTCCTGTAGAAAAGTAATTTTCAACTGCGAACATATTTCTAATTCCGTCTCTCGTTTTTAACATAAAGTACCTTTTACTTTCTTAGAAGTCGCGTATCTATTAGAAATGCGTCGCCAGGGTATGTAAACCAATCGGTATGGAATACCGAGTTCTATGTTATATAAAATATATCGATGTAAAATACATAGATGAAAACTATGTAGCGTTTACATTCATCAACAAATAATGAATCCAACTGCACATTACGAGGCTTTGTTAAATATTAATTCTGTTTTGCTCCACGAAATGAAACTGTAGAAGAGCTTCGCCTAATTCGGACGATTTTTGAATATGTTGTACAACTCAACATTTTGAACAACTTTTTCCTGTTTATGTAACTGTCAGTCGTTTATAGTTTCCGGGATAATCGCAAAAAATTATCAATACCAGTACAGTGAATTCTGCCTATTATTGTGCGTCCGTGACAGTGTATATGTCTGTATATTAGTTATTAGCGGCCGAATAGAATGATCTAGTCGAAACGTAACACTTATACTTATTTGTCTATATATGCAAACCTAAACCCGATACATTGATGATATCTATTTTTGATCGAAACAGACATTTCTTGATCTCGCACATGCAAATGTGCACGAAGCTTTCCCAAGCTTACTCAACTCTCATGTTTATGTACTGCATATATGTTACAATAAAAGATAAGTGCTAGATTTCAATTGGATACTTACCATATACCCGTTCGCCGCAAGGCTTGCGGCAAGTAATATTAATACGACGCTGTTACGGACGTATAATTGATTTCTATAACATATCTTCTTTTCTACAGTTTCATCGTTTCACAGTAATTACTTTACGGTGGCAGATAGATAATTTTACAAAATTCAACAAGTATAAAGAATATTAGGATTTATTGCATAGATATTACCATTGCGCGATAAAATATTTTGGTATTATGCTAAATGATTATAATTAAATTTGATGCAAATACCAAAATACAAGGTGAATAAATCGATTGGATTTTAAAAATAATAAATATACAGAAAAAGAATATGTACCTATTATCATTACTAGAAAGAAGTCTCGCACCGCGACACAGTACTGCTCTTTATCACTCGCCGTCACGCATTCCTATATTGTTTTATTTACTACATTTCATTATATGCACGGTGATGGACTCTCATTAAAAGATCCTCATTTGTTAGAGTATTACTAAAGAAATAACAGTAGTGATGTTGTGTAGAGACCGTAGAAAATTTAAACAAATTTCTAGTTTTGTGAACTTATCGAAAAGTCTGATTTCGATGACATTAAAATAAGTTGTAAAGCTTAACATTCTGGACAATATTTCCCTGTACATAAAACCAGCGATCGGCCTTAGTTTCCGAGATACACGGAAAAATATCCCGCTGCTCGGCCTTAGTTTTCAAAATGGGTTGGGTTAGTATTGATATTAATATTAATCCGGACGACCGTGCTGTGAAGCGACTGGTTGACTCTGCGAATCTCCTTATTGATATTGATATAAACAATGCTGGCCAGCCACCTTACGGCACGGCATCCGGATTGCCAAATCAATACAGCTTGAAAACTAATGCCAAGCAGTGGAATATTTTTCCGCATAAAAAGGTTGTTCACAATGTTGAACTTTGCAACGTACTTTAGAATCATCGCAATCGAAACAATTAGCTTTTCGAAAAGTTCACCGAAATGGTGACCTTTAAAGCACAAAATTACTAATATGATACTTCTCTATTGATATTCCAATGAGAGACACCCTTTTTGTGACGATTCATTAGCTTGTATGTAATGAAATATAGTCGGAACAAATCAAAGTTCCAAGTTATATTTCCTTGCTTAAAATTATTGTAGGTGATTATTTATATCAAAGGTCATAACCGCACTGATATGGATAATTTTTTGATATATTGTAGAAATCAAGTTTCACCTTGCATGTCACCGCTGCGCCGCTGGACCCTAGTTTCCCAAATATTCGCAAAGAACTACTGGTGCCACTACAGTGAATTTCGCTTATAATTGTTCGTCCGTAACAGCGTATGCGTTAGTATTGTTGCAGAACATAAGCGAGAAGGATACCTTCGAAAAGCGATGAAAGCGATAGAAAAGGCGAAGAAAAAAGACGACGAAATCTATACGCAACTCGGAAAATGAAACTATCCTGCGTGGCGAGGCTTTTGCAAAGTCACATCAAATTACAAAGCTAAATAGCCAACAGAGAAATATTACCGTTATCCTTGACCCAATAATTAATCGACTTGGGGGAAGCCTCGACAAAACATTCCAGGACAACATCCGTACCCAGAGGTGCACCTACCAGTTGATTAGGTACATGAATTACCGGCGAAACTGTGAAACAGAATCTCAAATAGGATTTATAGACGTAGAACGCTAGTGTATTTCTCTTCGACCGTTTCAAAAGAAATTGGTAAATTATCGGCCAGGATAATCACTATTACTCACAATGAACGTTGATAGAAATACGTTTGCTGACCGCCGGTGGCACACCGTTGATGGCGATACAAAGATAAACTCCCATTTCGTTTCTCGAGATCTTTGTCAGTTTTAGCTCTTCGCCGTGGTACTCGTTTACTGAAGTCACTAAACCAAATAAAAAGCGATAAACATTTTGTTAATCCAATATTGCGAAATTTTCTAGAATTAAATTTTCGATACAATTAAATAACACAATTAAATATACATGTACTTGTACATTGTATTGCAGTAATAAAAAGGTTACACCTGTTCTTTTTCTGTGGCGGTGAGAATATTGCCCTGAAACGCACTATCCTTATATGCTATTCTTAATATGTATTGCCGTGTCTTAAACACGTGGAAATATCGACTTTCTTATAATTTTGAGATGTAAGAGTGTGTTACTTCACAAAAATCATCTCATTTAACTATAATGTATAGGAGCAGAAAATAATAGAGTCGTTTGCTACGAACAAACATACATCGTGCGTTTCTGTAGTTTCATTAATGATCATAAGATTCTATCTAGAGATGAATAAAAATCTCTGTTAACAATGTTATTAAGATCTACAGTCGTTAAACGGAAATTTTCATTACTAAAATCTACGAATGTGCTCGAGGCTGTCGTTTTTGCTCTTTGTTCAAGTTGTTGTCCGTAAGGATTAATTAAGGAAATTATGTTACACCTTATCGATTAAGATGGTGCCCCTATTTAGCCATGACAATTAAATTTTTTCGCGTCAATAAAAGTGTTTTTTGTAGCGAGAATTCGAATTCACCATTTTACATGTTCTTTTATAACTTGTAACAAATAGGAAATTTCTCTACAAGTCCTAAATAACATCACATAATTATAATTCTATGGCACATTAAGATGATTAATACATACGTATTTCACATACAAATTTACATCCAAACCAAATACTATCTTTTTATCTTCTTTAACAAAGATGTGGATAAGCAACTCGCTAAATAAGTTACATATAATTCTCACAGAGAAAACTGTAACTGAAAGGGTATCTTCCGTAAAACCGTCGAACTGCTTGCTAGCCGTCCCAACGGAAATTGCTAATTAATGAGTTAGTAAATCATAAATCATCGAGTTTCGCTTAAACTCCCAGCGAGGTTATGTTACGTGGTATAACATCAGTAATTACAAAAATATAAGATCCGCGATTTATCAGGAAAACACCGTTTGTTGATCAAATTAAAAACTAAAATTGAATGATTAGTTAAAGATGGAAATACAAGGTAGACAACTTAAGAAACTTGGAGTTTTTAATAATAATTACTGTCATAGAAAATATAGATAACCTTTAATGTATATTATAACCCAAAAATCAGAAATGCAAGGAGGATCGTCATAACAAATAATTAATTCTCTTAGATAATAAGGTAAAAAGGTAAAGCTAAGATACACTGAAAGATATTGCTATTACTGCAACTTTAAGGACGACAGTATTAGATATTTTGATAAATCTTATTTTATGCATAAATGTTGCACGATGTTTTATAATTCAGATTTCATAGCATATATCACATTTCAATGTTCAAATAACCGAGATTTTACGTTTCTCAGAATCGTTGTATATTTCTCGTCAACAGCTGCCAACTTCTAGTACAGAATTGTACCTACAATATGGCGAAGGTTATAAAATGTGTTATAGATCGCGAAAGATTGCTAAAATGTTAAAGTTCATCTTTACACATCTTTACACAAAAGTGCATATCCCACAGTCACGATAAAATGAAATTCCATATTCAAATTAAAATCAAGAAACGAAATGTTTTCATATTATATGCAAACCGTTGACTTTTGGACGTTTAAATTTCCTATAAATGTATTAACATCCACAGTTTAGTAATCAATTTGTTTGGAATCATATCTCGTTATTTTACTGTTTATTGATAGACATATACACGAAATCGAAGTAACGTCTTACAATGGATGAAGTTACAGACCTCGTAGTTAGATTGACAACGTTTCCCCCACGATATCCAATAATTATCGGCATTGTAGGCCAACAATAAGCTTTCCCGTTTGCGCGCAGCTAGGGCTACTGCACTTAGCACATGTCGCGTCGCAAGGGTTTCATTCGCATACATTGCCATGGCATCCTCGACAGGGCGCTGTAATTCGCCTGCTATTAGTAACACCATGCTGAAGTGAATACTAAATACGTCGTTTAGGTCGAAGCATCAACGCAGAGCGTAGAGAGATAAGGAGGAGTAACTCCGACCGATGCGATGCGATGCGATGCGATGCGATGCGACATCTCTATACACCATCAAGTATCCTGCGATTTTATGAACGTTATCGGCCGATCCTTTTCGTCGACGTGACGCGACGTGAAGTAACGCCACGGGGTGTCCAACGGTTCCATTTTATCGATCGCCACGACGATCCAATCGTATCATTACGCAATATTTCAAGAGCATTATACAGTTGTACGAATAGCCGATGATATTGTTAAAAAACGAACTAAGTATTAGAAAGAAATCATTTTTCTTTCTTCCTCGTTTGATATTTAGTTTTGACGCAGATATTTCATAGTTACATACACAACAATGATATCCGAAATACCCTGGTATCCGAATATTAATGTAGTCATGACCCTGATTGCCCTTACAATTAGTAACTACGGCAGTTGAATGCGTCATGGATTATACATAGGAATATAAAGTAGAAAAAAAGAAGCAAAGTCAAGAACATTTCAGAAAAATAGATATTTAGTTGTTAATTAATGTGTTTCAATCTATACAGTGACACTATCATGAGAGTGTTATGATTTCCTAAAAAATTAACTTATTCTATCAGTATCACGCTTGTAGTAAATTGACGATACGCATATCTCAAAATTATTCGCGAACGTGTTTATGTTTCAAGATAAATCAATTCCGCAGGTGAACCGTTAACGTGACCCATTAAAACCAAGTCTTCTATTGATTCCTTAGGGTGTTGCACAAACTGTTACTTAACAATTTCTAGAAAGTTACGTCTCCTGCAGACAGTTTGGGGCGAATCCGTCGTGGCGTAACGGTTCGCGGTGAAATAAGGAAATTAAAATACCAAGTGAATCCAGTGACTGGGTTCGAGGAAAACATAATTGTATATTCCGCGTTATATCGGCAAAATGGTTGGAGCGTCATCTATATTAAATCTTACCATGAGACTTTTGGTTCAAGGCGCTTCCTGCAAATGGCTTCCGAATTATAATGTTCTTCCCGTCTTCTCTACGCCACGATATGCTGGGTGTAGGCACGCCTCTTGCACGGCACGTTAACTTCACCTGTACGTGTTATGAAACCAAAATTATAAAGAGAATCGAGTTCGTTATTGCCAGCTGCGGAGTCACGTATAAATATGTTTGGAAAAATTAGCTATCTGAGCAAGAACCATTTTATTTGCTTAAAATTATACCACTTGTCGAAAAATTGCTCGCGCAAAGTAAATCAATCATTCGATAAATTAGCTAAGAATCCAATAATCAGAAATGGTTAAAATTGCGATATGCTTTACAATCACTATTCTCATAAAATTCGCGGAAGATTAGTTTTTTTCCTACACGGATTCCTTCGATTCTCATTTTCATTCAAAATTTTACTGTACAAAAATTCACATAGATAAATACATAGCGTATCTTGTAATTTGTAAAGTGAAAATTGTAAAATTTATAATAAAAAGGAGGTGGTAATCTAGTTGTAAAAAATAAATTTTCAGTGACAACGGAGGCCGTTGACTTCGAAATTTTCATGATCCGATATTATGTAAAACTGTATGGCATAAATGTTAATGACCGTTGAGATTTCTTCTCGCTTTTTTACAAATTCATTCTAAGTTCGAGACAACAGTTAATAGAAATTCATACTTTATTCTCGAATATTGTTCATTATCGAATGATAAATTTTATCGTTACATTTCACAATTTAATGATTGTTTATTCGATTGGATCGACGTAAAGATTTTTAAATTGTTTGAGATAAGCAGTGTCAAAGAAAACCATAAGTGGCTTGAATTAATAATGTACATTGTTTCGCCAGTTCGCTGTCATGAGATTTTGTAGTGAAAATATGTCATGCGGGCAAATTAAATTGTCCAACCATCTTATGAACCAATATTTCCTATTGTACGTAGCGAACAATACTAACAAGAATATACATACCACTTCTCGCAATCTATCATTTTCAATAATCACTAAGTCAATAAATATTTCAATGGTGAAACATATAACACAAATGAGGAAATACATATATATTATCTATATGGCTGAAAATAAATATAAAACCATTACGTACGATCGTTACAGAAATCTCTTTATGACATTATACATAAATTAAAAATTGTTAAACATAAAAAAGTGCTCCAATTTTTAAAATTGTGTGATTTTCTCAATCTTACAATTGTCTGATAATTAAATCACGTAACATAAATTATATTATGTGTTGTTACCAATAATTACCAATGAAATGTCGGCAATGTTTTGAGCTTCGATATATTAAATTGAAATATTACATTCGTAACATAAGTATCGGAATTTAATTTGGTATACATGTACTCGATGAACATTTATTCGATGAAAGTTGATCGATATCCACGCGCTACTTTCAACTTTTTGCACCAATTTCACAACCGCTGTTTCATATTTGCGAATATCACTTTCGAATTCAAAGAGTTAGTTTATATTATTATATGTTTAAGGCCCACAGCAAAAATCTATGCTAAAGAACGTATGGAGTCGAAGACAATTGGTAGCGCTAGGTGCTTGGATGAAGCAAATTCGTAGCATTGAACCGTGCGCGTATGTGCGTGTGTGTGTATTTGTGTGCGTGTTATGCAGTGAGAAAACACAGTTGAAGAAAGGACTCGAGAGACGCGCGAACATGCCACCTGAGCACTCGGACTGTCCGCCGTAGTGTATGAAGAGTAACAAATGTACTATTTTACGCTCTATGTATGAATATATTCGTCCTGCACGTGTTTTCAAATCGTGTAAGGCGATGGAAGACGCTTGAAAATACAGCAGGACGCCAATTGTTGAAGAACATGAATAAATCAAGTTGTTAATATAGAAATATTTATATGATTGGGTGATTTAATTTATCAGATTTCTTCTTTAGTATTAGAATTTAACAGATGCTTAATTCGATGTTGAAAATTGTCTCTTTTCAATCTTTCATTAACATTTCTCATTACGGTAAGTGATTGCGCATTGTGAAAAATGACATTTCATGTTATTTCAACGTGCGACACGCATAAATATTTAGGAATTAATTTGATGAGAATTTGAATTAATTAGATAAGATCGTTATTATGTAATAGCGTTAATTTATTTTTATTACTAAATGGAGAAATAGAGGAATAACAAGGATGAAAGAGATTTTACGGTGAACGAATAAACGAGGTACAGTTGGAATAATCGAGATTCTCTTCGAATAGAATTTTGTCGTCGAATGAAACGAGGTAAAGTTTCCTCTATTGGTTTAAAGAATATCGAGTCCCGCTGATCAAATTGTAATCAATTTAGCATTAAATAATAGCAAACGTTCGATTTAGTCAAGGTTTCAAAGTGAAAAACAAAACCGAAATCATGTAACATGTGCACGGCTAGAAAATCAATGAAATTCAATTGATCTCAAGAACGTTGCGTATCTGAAAATGGAATCAGCTTAGTATTTTGTTCATTTCCAGGATGAGCTTGCCCTGTTAACGTTAAAATACATTCGTTCAACAACTCGTTTCGGTAGTTATTTGGAGTTGTTCGAGGCTAGGGAGGAATTTTTCCTTTTCAGTAGAGAAAGTATTGCGAACAGACTCGGATCGTTTCCTCGATATCGTGTTTGTAGGATCGTCTTCGCAAATGTCTTTATCAGTTTTAAATTAAGGACACAGGTACGTTGTGATATGCTAAATGTGGGATGATACAGGAAGCCAGTTTCAAAGTTTTAGCCCCAGGTCGCATTGAAATTCAGATAAAGTAGGAAACGTATCGTGTCGCGGAACAGAGAATCTCGACACGCAACGAGAATTTCATAAACACGAGGACCATCACAACCGTGGAAACCGCGCTAGGTACGTGCCATTAATAACAATACTTATCATTTGGATGAAAAAGTATCTTCTATTCGGTTCAATGTTCGATCCCATACTCTCAACGACAAATATTGCCACGGATTCCAATTGAAGTTTTCATTTTGTATAAGCTTGACCCTAAATTCGCCGTGAAACTATGTACATATTTCCTACGACAGCAAAATACAAGGTCGATGTCTATTTTCATGCACTTATCGTTTTTTCTTACCACGATCTCTATCCCGAGATTCAAAGTTATTTTCCCAACTTGTGATTTTTTTTATGGACTTTGGTTTGTAAATTTTAATTTATTTTTTAAACGAACACTGAAACTTATTCGTAACATATTAAACAATGATTATTCAAAAATTCATGCAGATTTCATTTCTTTGATTAGGCATATTTATAAAAACACAAGTTTGCATGAACATCCGCTAATAATAATCATCGTTTCCACAAGGAAAAAGCAGTTATCTCAATTCAACTATTTCATGCACTATGCATTAGCGTATACGATGGTTATCAAAGTTACAAGTTACAATATATGGAAAGTTTGATAAATCTTAGCGATCCGTTCTGCGCTAATTAGGCGAGTGATTTTATCGCAAAACAGGTAAGAGCTAAATACAAATTCTCCTTTGCTCTCGTTACATGAATTCTCGTAAAAGAGGATATATATTACGTCATTTCATCGTGATTTTTTAATTGTGCTCTCGTGAAATGTAGTAGGCGAACTTTAAGTGCCGAATTTCACAGAAATTAGATACTAACGCGATATATACATGATACGTTAGGACTATGCGTACAGAATTTTAATTTTGTAATTTACGTATACGTTGAAACACTATGTATGTACCGATATAAGAAATACAATGAACGGAACTTGTGGAAAGCATTTTATCAATGATATTCAGAGAGAAGTAATACATATTTCCTGCATCACAGTATCAGTTTTGATAAGAAAACTGGAAAAAGAGAAACCCGTACACGTTATGTTTACTAAATGTATGTTTCGAAACTACGCACTCCTATGATACGTAAACACGCAACAGGTTAGTATAAGATCTCCTAGTAATAGGATTTCTCTTTCCTTCTTTCATAATGCGATAAATCATTGTGAATCTTTCTTAATCTATAGAAACGATAATATCCAAGTATACTACGGTGTAACCGAGAAGTAACTTCCATGATGAAAAGTCGATGAAACTTAACCCTAACCGAATTTTAAACCGAATACATATACCCTTCAATTGTAATAGATTGGTATCTTTACGAACTGTTACGATAAAGTGCGAGTTAAACGTAGGCACATCGTATTTCTTGACTAACAATAAATAGTATGATGAGAGGATTGATTAAGTGTCAATTTACCTGTCCTCCTTCGCGTATCATGACATCGCTCGATGTCTCTTCCGGAATAAAGTCCGGTGGCACGACGACCGACAACATGCCTGTCTGAAAAAATATAACATTATCTTTTATCAATTAACTTCATTCGTTTATTTATATTACTAATAGGGGGATTAATAGCCCGAAGAAACGTTCTCTCTAAAAAAGACAACGATTATTAATTTTGACTTATTGTGAAAATTTCATTCGAAATATTTCATTTCATTCAATATCGGCCGTGTTAGTAATCCATAAACAAGCATCGTGCTATAACTAATGAAAACACGTTTCATTGATAATAATACGCTACTCGGAGTAAAAGCGCTAAAGCTGAAAATATAACGATGAATTTTCGTTATAAATACCATGTCTAGTCAATATAATTGCCGCATATTTTATATGTCGATTAATTAATCCACGAGTGGATGGAGAAAAATTTTATGCGCGTTGAAAAAAAATGGAAAATCGCAAACGAAAATTTCTTCCTAACGAAACATTCTTTATTTAGAACAGAATTTTCGTTGGAATTATAGGAATTTGGCAATTTCTCTGTTATCCCGATCAAGCTCCCAAGATAGTAAACTTCTAGAAGAAAAGAATTTGAACGCACTCAGATAAATTTCCTGATGTGAGTACATAGAATTAGGGTGGAAACCGAGCGTACAATTTTGTCGGGGGGCTGCTGCGCCTTACCTCTGACTCCTCCGAGTAACGGTATTTCAACGAGCATGCCAAAACTTGCTCCGCGCTACATATATTTTCCGACACGCACCGGAACCAGCCGAAATTTAGTGTTAATGATACGCTTAACGGTTGCACGATGCATCAAGTCCTTTCTTACTGAATCTCTAAATTATATCTATGGGCATTACTGTATTCGCGAGCGGAACTGAATAACGTAGCTCCTAAATCCTGGCTGTATTTCGCTTCCCTTAACCTCTGCTGTAGTAGAAGCTTGAGCAACATATCATGGAGTTGTAAAGCGGAGCTAGAAGGGGCGTACGAACCCCACCAGTGCCGACGACAATGTTGTCAATGAGTGTCATGATTTTTCGTTAATTAACGATACACCACCGGCCGATATAATACGTAAGTCGACGCGGATGCTACCCAACATTGTTGCGCTGGTTAACAATCCTCGCTTGAATTTTCACATATCTCGCACCGATCGCGTGCTGGTTAAACGTGAACTGTACGTACGCAAATGGGTGCGACAAAGAGACGGCGACGAAAAGAGAATACAAAGTTCCGGATAGATTCACCTAGTTTTTCTATTTGCACAGCGAAACTACTGCTCGTTCGTTACTCATTTTCCGCATGATTTCGCTTCTGACTACGCCAGGTTCGAAAACTCAGCAACTTTTATTTGTCCGCTCTCTCTTGCAGGTGTTTTACGTGGGGCGAGCGTCTTTTACTGGTTTCTTCCAACTATGTATTCGTCACTTTCTTGCATTAGAAGATTTATTACACCTGACGCTCGCTGATTGATTGCGGAAAGATTCGTTCGAGAATGTTTTACTAAAATTTTTGCGAATGATTCCTAAGCTGGTCTGTGGGAAGAAGGTAGGCTCTGGACTTCTTCACGATAAATGCCGATTATTGAAATAGATTTTGGAATGCTCATTTTCTTGAAATCTTCAGTATTTAAAAACCTTCAACGCTATTTAATTGAAGGTAAACTCTCTTCGATCCTATATAAAAACTGACAACATTCGGTAAGTAGGACACCGTCCTATATATGTACCTATATAAGTACCTATATAAGTACCTTTACAAGCAGTGCAGGTTCTAGTCCGGAACGATGCTAGTTATTGACGCAAGTCATCGTTTCAAATAATCGACATTATTGAAGTAGCACCATACACGGAAAATCGCGGTAAGCGCGAAGTCGTACTAGCCGAGTATCTATCAACGAGCAAGCTACTACATTATTTATCGTACTGTTATAATTCCTTTCAGGGATTCGTAGAGAAAGGGATATAGAACGTGCAAGTTCAATCTGCGTCTGGATTTTACGAAATGATGGTGCATCAAACGACAGGTCGTCGCGTCGCGTCGTGTCGCGTCCCGCCGTCGGTATAGTCGAAGGACTTGGTTTCACTCTAATATCTTTCCACTCCACTCACGATTTAAGGAAGCTATCCAACAGTCGACAGAAGATGGAGGCACCTGCTCTTACGTCCTACCGCGAGGTGTGTGCGGAATTACGAGGATGTAATCTACGCTACGATGAAACTTCAATCGTTATAACCGAGTTGTCTCGCAAGTCACTGAACTGCTTAAAACAGTCTCAACGAATACGTCATTAAGGCGAGACTGGCGGGCAGAGGTGTGTGCCCTTCTCGTCCTCTCTGTTTCTCCGTGGTACCCTTATCCTTTATCCCTGCCACGTGACAGTTCAGTGACAGGCAGACACGCGTGCCCAAGCGCGTAAACTTGCCGGTGTCACGAGTGAATTATGAAACTTGGCTTCATTCCACGAATTAATTATCGTCTAGTCGGATAGGACTCTATCAAGGATGTTGATAGATATACGTGTTAATCGAAATAACGCCTAATCGATCAATTCGTTTAGCGGCTTCAAATTCGAGCGAGCCTTATAATCGGCTTTAAAGGACCGTTCATCTTTATGATAATCTGCAGTTCAACGAGGCTATTAATTCCTATCAGGAATTACCGATTCCCTTGGAAAATGCTTCGTTGTTGTTATTTTGTGTCTTTCTCTTGTGAATATCGATCAAATACGTCAGAGATTATATCTCAACAATAAGATTGGTTTTACCAAGTGCGCATTAAAGAATTCAATTAATTAAGAATTCGATCCCATCAAGTATATGCAAATTTAATCAGAGCAATTAAATTTGACAAGTATAATTTAGAATTGAGCTATTTGGAGAATTCAAAGTTCAATTTGTATTTCAATTATTCGAATACATTCGAGCAACTCATCCGTTCTATTAAAATTATTTTCGATGTTATAATTTTATCTCAATTCGGACTCTGTTTCAGCTATTCATTCAATTCGACTCGCCTTGTTTTTCTTTCAGGTTCTAATTATCAATCTCCCTTTCGCATAATACGATATAGCCTATAGATAGCAGTTGATATTTATGATACAAAGTTACATAAGCTAATTCGTTGATAAATCATTATTCTCGAATACTATCGAAAAGTAGGTACTAGGTAATTCGCGTTATGGATTCATCTTAAATATTATAAACGAACTGGGAGATACTGTAATTAAACGATCAAACGAACTTATCTGAAGTAAAGTTCGGTCGAAGTTTCGTTTGAAGAGATTACATATGTAATCTTCTTGTCGATTATAATAAACGTATCGCAACGTTTAGAGTGAAAAAATCGCTATCCTACACGCGTCTCCCACTCACATTCGTCATTCTTTCAGAATAAGCCTAAAATTGCTATTTTTGGGGTTGAAAGGAAGAGAGAAAATTCTTAGTAAAGAATTTTTTAGGATAGGATTTAATCTCTTCGAACAAGGCTCTTTATATAATTACAATCGAACTTCACTTCGGATAAGTCCGTTTGATCGTTTAGTTATGTATCGCGCATCGTTCTTGAAATTACACATTTAGTTGTTCAGAAACGGCAGTTTTTTACTTCATAGTATCTGGATTTTATATTTTAAATGTTATTGTCAAAAATATTTGATATATCGTTCAGTTTGGCTCATTCTCCACAAACGACAAAAATAAAAGAAGATTTAACAATGAACTTACATCTCGAACAGAAATTATATACTTTTTTATTCCTGTAACACATGCAGCTTCGGCAAACGCTTTTGAAGTTACCATGTGTCTTGTGGAATTGTTCGAAAATATTGATATTTTTATCCCGCTTCTGTATAGTGTTTCTTTGGTCTACGACTGAAGGTTGTTATTTTTTTAATAGATCTCTTTTATCGAAATAAACAGATTTATGATCTCGCCTCTAACTTTTCTTGTTCTCTCTAGATATTCAAGGATTGCCGATGTTACACGCATAATTCTATAGACTGTACGAACCTCGAGAGTATCAATAAGGATTGATACCGATTTGGATCCGAGGAGTTTATTATATCAGGGACCTCTTTTTACACTTTTTTCGCTGTTTTCTTTATATTCTCGATTTTTATATTAATTAATGTATATGCGCTATATATGCCGTAGCCAGCGTTAACAGCATCGCAGCATATTTCCCCATGAAGTCCTTTATTGATTGATTTTTCAAATGGATATAACGTCTTTAAATATTCTAATATCTGAGCTGCGCCCCATGTCAGGGCATATTCAGAATTGATGGACTGTAGGCGCTTCTTAAGAATCAGCACCATGCGATTTTCTTCTACTTTGCCGCTAGGAGTGAGTGGTACCATCGATCTGTATACGTTTAAGGTTCCGTAGGATACGTCAATTTCGAAGAGTACCATCAGAAATTTGAGCAGTTTCTCGAATCGAGCTTATGGTGTTTACGTTATTCTTTTCGCAGAAGTCCGCCATATTATATTGACTTATAGTTATTTATGATATTCTCTCATCGTCGATGATGCCAGGGATTCTAATAAGATAGCTAGCGTTTTCTGCGGTAGCCCTTTCAGTAGGAATGCCTTCCTGATACTCTTCCTACAATCACCTGCAGGTGATCCCTTCTCGGGTGCTGCTTTGTCCTCTACGTGGAGACAACAGAAGGTTCGGGCTCGGATCCAACGTTCGCTCGCATGTAGTCGTTTGAATACGGGATATCATAGTTAACCAGTCTAATCCAGTACAACTAAGATAGCCTCAGCCTTGTTGTTCTTAATTTTTATTAGAATCTCCAGAATCAATGCGAATAACGGAAATGCACAGAAGTTTAACTCAGTCCATTTTATTATGAAAACGTCAACTGCACTAGCGCCTGGTTCTAGTAACAAAGATAAAATTTTCTTGCATTTTGCGTTTATGATTGTCGCAAATAGGTCATACTCCAGTCTATCGAACATTTGTACAATCTTATTGAATTCTAAATCGCATAATTCCTCATTTCTATGAATGTATATATGATGTGAATAAGTAGACTTTTTCCTT